CTCAAGATGGACCATGTTGACTTGATTATGGCCATCTTGAACTGTAGGGAAAAGAACTTGAGATGTAGGAAAGCGGAATTTTAACTCCCTTGAGCATCAACTGCATAATCCCGAACAAATTGCTCGGAAAGAGCTGCTGAATCCTTTGGAGCATTCCATGAGGTTGAAACTGAATCTGAATTACCATGTTGTTGGTATTGAAACCTATCCTTGAGGTCATTCCCAATGGCAAATGATCTGAAGCCAAAGTTATCTTCAGATTTGACATCCATAAAAGGAGAAAAAATAGATAATGGAATCGGAATAAATTCCATGAAAAATCTCAACAATTTCGAATAACACATTAATGGAGATGACTGATGACATTCCCCGTTCTTGCTGCGCATGCAGGAATCGAAACCGGAGGTTCAGAGATTAAAAAATTCAGGAGTAGCTGGAATGACCATCAGCTGTTGAAACTGAGTAAAATTCGGAAGTAGCTGGACTGACCATCAGCTGTTGAAACTAAATAAAATTCAGATCTGAACGAAGTTCCCAATGGAGAATCTGATGAATCTGACTCTGATGAAGATTCTGATGGAAGTGATGAAGAGATACCAAACAAGGCTGACCAAAGTAGCCCACGCATAATAGCATGCCCAAAACAGTAACCAAAAAATGAAAAAAAAAAATTGTAAACCTAAGCACTCAGAACATGAGAGAGAACCTGACAAAACAGCCTGCTCCTTTTGAGGACATGCCAGAAGTTCATAAATTTGATTCTTAATGTTACTGGGGTTCAGGTTCAACCTGATGAGGTGAAGGCAGAATCTGATCTTGTGTCAAATGAAACCATGATTGAAGGGGTAGGGGCTGGTTCAGTTGATGGCAGCAACGATGGAAAGAATTCTGAAAACGACGCGGAAGCTGAAATAGTGGAGGTGGATTCCCTAGCTGAACAAATTCCATCTATTAATCAATCCAGTACTTTGGAGGACACTTCCGAGGCTTGTCGATTTTGTTGGCAAGCCTGTTTTCCATGCTGAGCGCATTTATGATCAAACACCAGTTGGAGTTGTAATGGGTCTTGCTTGGACGGAGCAAAGGAGGCGGACTGGAGAGCGGATGCATGCGGGGCAGGTAGGATTTCCAATACACCACCAAGGCGAAAAAAATCAGTGGTCGGCGACCAATTCGAGTGTTCATCCTCTCCAACTTCACTCTCTTTCTCCTCGTTGTCCTGAATCACGTCTCTGCCCTCTCAATTTTCTGTCTTGTCTGTGTGTGTAAATATATATTTCCTTGCAGCCGCAAAGTTTGACTCCCAGCTAGTCTTCTGTTGTTCAATTTTTCCAGCCGCAATTGGTTGTTTTTCTTCAGCACCCCTCTGCTTCTTTCTGTCTCTGTCTGCGTATATGTATAAAATACACTTTCTGTTTTTTTTTCAGAAAAAATATATAGTAGACCAGACAATGTGGAAACTGCATATGGAAAAAAACAATTTTGAGAGAAGGATCGTGTATTATTCAAACGAAAAGAAAAAATTGGCCAGGCTGCTCACCGGAAACGAAATTCACTGGTTAATTTGTTTAGGATCGGAACGGCTCTGATGCCATGTGAAGAATATTATAAATT